ATGGGTCAAAATTAAACCACCAGGGGACCGCCGATTTTATTCCCTGTTTCGATACTTAAGGGTAAACATGGGCCATAAAACACCATGTTGTAATCTTAATTTATATGGGTGAAGCATCAAAAATGCTAGAAGTTTGGTGTCAAAAGTCTGGGTGTTTTCCTTCCCAGCCTATTTTTGACCCCCATCTTTCGCTGGCGCCCGGGTCCATTTTTCCCTCGCCTGCAGGTCCTTCGGCTCGTGGACTCCGCCAGCGCGGACGTGGGCGCCGCGCCTTGGAGCAGAGGGTATGAGCTAGGCCCCCCAGCTGGGTGCCCTTTCTCACCAACTTTTCTTTCTTTTTTTTTGGGGGGGGGAGATGGGGGGAGTGTTCTCTCTCGGAATCGTCGTGTTTGCGCAAAAGAGATCGATCCCCTTAGCACCAAACATGGAACCGCAGAATTAGCTGGAAGCTGGTACAGTTTGGTTGTTTTTGTGGGCTAATCCAACAGAGTAACTACTCAGACTAGGTCCCCCAGCTAGGTGACTAGGTGCCCTTTTGTCAACTTGTTTGGTTGGGAGGGTTCCCCTACTAAAATAGACTACAGAAAAAACGGATGCCCTTATTCTATCCTCTCGTCTGGAGCAGCACAAAATGCAGAAAGATCGCGAAACGCATAAGTGTTGGTTGCTTCTACAATGCCAGGAAAGGACCCAGCCAGCAAACACGCATATTCCAAACCTGTGAAGACAATTGAGCGACATCAGAACAACAACTATGCACCCAACAGACCCAATTACGTGGTCAAGCGCACATCATGGTGGATGAAATGCAGTATGACACTTTGTTTGTTTGAATTCCTCGATTCTACATATATTTATATATATATATGCATGTAGTTGTTTGTGTTGCTGTTGTCAAGTTTGTCTTGTCAAGTGCTCTACAGGCAAACTGCAGATCCTGTGTGTGTGGTTGTGTGTGTGTGTGTGGTTGTTTGGTTGTTTGGTTGTTTGTTTGATTGATTGTTTGTATGTGTTTGTGTGCTTTTGTGTGTGTGTGTTGCTTGTTTGCTTGCTTGCTTGCTTGCTTGCTTGCTTGCTTGTTTGCCGTAGCCAATTTTGGCTCAAGGGAGCAAGCCACCCGCTGCTGTGTAATGCACCGACTTTGTCACAGGCGGCGGGTGGGTGGGTGGTGGACAGGTGACACCAACTGACACTGCGTCAGTGGGTGCAGGCCGGGAGGGTGAGTGAAGTTGATTTCGCTCGTTGTCACCCTCCCGGGCGTTGAGTGCAGCTCACTCGTTCGAAGCCTGTCAGCGAAGCCCAATTTGCTCCCAGCATTCAGATGGATTATACAAACCATACATAAGCCCACACAAGCCTTCCACAAGCCTTTTGTAAGCTTTGCACAAGGAGGCTTTTAGGGTGCATTTTTGGGGTGTATGCTGAACTTCTTTGACAGACGGAGCCGCGCAGCTTCAGACTATCGGTGATGTATTCACCTGGGCAGGTCTGGTATCTTCGGAGATGGAAGCTGGGACTACACTGTCAGGGTCACTTGCTGCGGTACTTGGCGTCAAGCAGGGCACGAAGCCGCGTGTCCTGGGAGTGTCCTCTTCCAGTGACTTCGAGAATGTGCTGCAGTCCTGGAGAATTCGGGTTGATGATCATGATCGTGCGCCAACTATTGCAGAGTGGGGCATGGCACGGCTGGTGGGAAGGGCGTGCAGAACAGTTGCTGGCGCCACAGAGCTAGAGGCTCTCAAGGCACAGCTCGCGCAGGCTCAGGCTGCGGCGCCCCAGACATTACCACCTACAGCGGCAGGAAGTCTTAGCTCAACTGCAACTCGGAGAATCAAGATGTCGGCCATCATCTCCCAGGTTCATGAGAGCGAAGTCTTCATGATGGAAGAAAAGAAAGTGATCAAGTGCTATGCTCGATACGAAGCTGTGTTTGGGGCTGGTGAGCGTCCTGCCAAGGACTGTGAGCCCACTACACCCTACACAGACTTCAGCATCTTCGGGCCTTTCGGTCACAGGATCATGAAGCGCATCAAACTTCAAGACATGGCCATCGACAGAGACGGCTCACTCAAGATGATTGAGCTCTATGGACCAAACAACCTGGGAACATGGTTGGCGTCCTACACTGTGCTCTTGAACATACTGGTAATGTTGGACGCAGTGGATCTGGGGCATTTGCAGAAATACAGGTCCCACGTGGAGCGCTTGGCAGATCGCTACGGGCCGAAGGTTTGGTCAGTGATTTACCAGGCTGATGTCCGTTGCCGCTTGGAGCACATAGAAAGAATGACACGGATTTTGACAAGGATCATCCCTGGAATGCCACATGGATGAGGGCGATCGCAGATGAAGCCTTTTGGAGAGAAGAAGCGACGGAGCCTGCGCTTCTCATCCTGGCTAAGATCACGCAGCCCTCAGAGATTGTCCAGGGTGACGCAAATGTGAGCAAGGCCCTGCGCGCATGGCAGCAGACCAGGACGATAGAGGCCTTCGTCCGCGCAAGCAAAATAGGACTGGGCGGTTTCACCAAGTTGCGGACGGCCATCATACCCACAACAGGACTGGTTTTCGTCTATGCAGTGGGCACCAATCAGGCCAATGTTTCGTCAAGCGTGGCGAGGGAAAGGGCAAGAACAAAGGCGCCAAGAAAGGAAAGGGGAAAGGCCGCCCCCAGTACTGACTTCAGCCAGCAGATGTTTGCATGCCACCCCCGGCGGCAAGGTCTTGTTCAATTTCGAGCATCGCCCGGGGCGGGAATTCAGCAGCCAATTTCAAGGCTATGCCTCCGGCACCCGCTACCGAAAATTGCGGGCGCCGGGGGCGTGTGTTGTACCTTTTCAGTGGTCCTTTGAGACCTTCCGATGGCCTGGGTAAGTTCGTACAGGATCTGGGCCTGGATTGCACTTGCATGGACATTGAAATCAGCGACTCTCACAACTTGCTTGATCAAACGTGCTGGGACAAGGTTGAATCCAACTTTGACAGCGTTGTTGCAGGTTTGGCTTCGCCATCATGTAGCACCTTCACTGCTGCCAGGCGACGTGACGGGGGCCCTCAACCATTGAGATCTGCAACAGGCCCGGGTCGTTACGGATTGAAGAGTTTGAGGGCAGTCGACGCCGCCAAGGTCAGGGAGGGCAACGCGTTGGCTTTGAGAGCGTATTCCATGGCAATAAATCTGCATGAGAGAAAGAAACCATGGATTGTTGAACAGCCTCATAGGAGACCTGGATCCACTTCAATGTGGAATCTGGATGAGTTTGAATCCCTGCTTGCAAAGGATGACGTGTTTCTCTACACTTTTGCTCAATGTCAATTTGGCTGCAGCGCAGAGAAGCTGACAGATTTCATGTCGAACATTCCGGCAATGAACCAATTCGCTGTTCATTGCAATCACACTGAGAAGTGGTGGAGGATTCCCTGGTCAGGTGAATGGCTTTGGGCTGCGCACCCACCGCTCAAGGGCAAACAGTGGGCAATCTGCGCAGACGAATGGCATCCGTTGTTGCTGAGGAATCATGAGCCGCCAGGGCGATTTCATCACACGATCAGTTGCGGCCTATCCGGGGTTGCTGAACAAGGCTCTGGCAGAGGTGCTGGTCTCGGCCACACGGGTGCTCAAGCCTGTGCAATTGGTTCGCCATGTGACGGTCAACGACGAGGAAGCAACCATTCGGTATAAGCTTCCGATGACAGGCACGCAGGATCAGACAGCGCCGCAAGATGATCGCAATAGTTTGAGGAATGTGTACTGTTGGGTCACAGACCGTCACCGGTACATTGGCGTCCAGTGCAGAAATATCATCGAGGAGCTTCTGGACAGCAACCCCAGCATCCAGGAGCAGGTCCTGAAGCCATTCGGCTGCAAGAGCGCGCCTTCCATTGAGAACGAGCAGTGGGTGGACAACCTCAGAGCGCGCATCGCAGAGCTTTTGGTCAACCGGCGCGATGACCAGCCAAAGCATTGTGACACCAGCGAGGTTGACACCGGAATCTACAGCACAGTCATTAGAGGGCGCTTTCTTCACTACTAGGCGCACCCTGCAGAACTTTGCGCTCGGTGGACTTACGAAGGGGCTCCTGCTGGGCTCCTGGTTCCCACCAATGCCCTGGATGGAGTGTTTCCGTGTGTAGACGCTGACGAGGAGCACACCTCCTTGAACAGATTATGGGAACTTCCAGAACTAGGGAGTGGAAGACAGTTCGGAAGCCTTTGACGCATTGGAATGGAAGGTTATGCGCGGAAGGGCTATCTGGCCAAGTTTCAGACGCTGGAAGAGGTTAGGTCCTTCTTAGGCGAAGACCCAGTTCTCTCAAAGCTGGGCTGCATCGCGAAAGAGAGGACCAACCCTGACACAGGCCAAGTCGTTAAAAAGGTCAGGATCATCCTTGACTGCAAACGTTCTTGTGTGTCCTCAATGACCTCAATGGCGCGAAGAACGCACAAGGCTGTCCTGCCCAGACTGACTGATGCTGTTTACAGCGCGCTGGAGCTGATGAAGGGATTGCACGGGTCAGCAAGCCTGGGAAGGTTTGTGCGGGCTCATTGCGCTTCGGCAGTGGAAGCAATTCGACAACGCTGGTGCACTGACCATTTTTGGAGCAGTGAAGGGGCGTTCGCAAGCTCAGAATATCCTTGCGCGCGAATATGCCTTGGACCTGGGGCAGGCCCAGTTCAAGCCGGATGTGCTTGAGCACATCCTTGGAGTCACAAATGTAATTTGCGACGTGCTTTCCCGGAGATTTGATCCAGGAAAGGCATTTGTGCTTCCCAGCACCTTGTCGGGAGCCCGTGCAATCGTACCCCCTCCACGGACCCGCCAGTGGTGGCGAACGCTGAGCCCTAGGGTAGAACTTTCACCGGCTACGCCAAGGGCAGTGATCTTGGGTGAAACTTCGGATTCTTCGGATCCAATTCGTCACCCAAGTCGCAAGAGGAGAAGACAGAAACAGAAGCAAGATGAGGCGGTTTCACAACTTCGAGCATGACTTTCAGTGTGCTGCAAAAAGAAGGGCGCGAGAGTGTGTGGCTGGTGCGGATTGATCTGTGCTTGCTGTTGCTCTTCCTCTTGTCTTGCTTGACTTACGCTGTGCAGCTTGTGCGGGTTGCGACCTTGAGTGCTTTGCGATTGAGATTTCCTCACTCACCTCTTGGGTGGATTAGAGGAGCGCGCAGCGTTGGCTCAGGGCATGAACTCCAAGAAGCGCAGCAGGAGCCAGTTCATTCCGAGGCTACCTTGCTGATCTCCAAGGCTATGTCTTGAGTC